AGTGAATCAGGAGGGAGGAGGGTGGAGTTCGACCCAGGGATTGAACCAGGAGGGAGGAATGTGGTCTAAGGAGTGAACCAGGAGAGAGGTGTGTGGTCCAGGGGAGTGAGCCAGGAAGGAGGAGGGAGGAATGAGGTCCGGGGAATGAACCACGAGGGAGGAGTGCAGTCTATGGGAGTAGGGAGGAGTATGATCCAGGGGAGTGAACAAGGAGCCTCTAGGGGTAGCAAGTTCACACACCACAAATACCTCCCAATCCATCTGCGTGCAGGGAGGGGACGGAAACCACGCAGGACCTGCAGCGCTTTCTCCTCGCAGAAGAGGAGTGAGGATACCGGCTTATGCATGAAATCAGAGCTAAAGTTCTACCACAGTGGGGAGACGCTTCACAGCCCAAATGGGTGCAAAGGAAACCAATCATACAAGATCAGTGGATGGAAAGGGATCAGAAATTTAAGCCTGTAACAAGCTTTCAGAAAAAACTTCACTTGATCTGCAAGATGACTGCAGCTCTGCTTGATCATTTCTGCAAGTGTCTAACTTGTGATGAGCCATCTCAGAGCCGTTCAAGAGGAGTAACAAAATCAAAACGCCAAGGCATGCTCCGTATTTTAGATAGCCTGCAACAGTATGGAAATGAGCAGCGGTGCCAGAGCTTTCAAGTTTGTTTGAAGTAAATTCCAGCATGAGGGCAGCATCTTCCTGGCTGAAGCAATGAGGTGGGCTCCTGCTCACCGCATGGGAGACCAGCTTTCAGCTCAGCTGCTGTCAAGGGTCTGCAAACCATGATCCCCAACTGAGCCTTGGCCAGGGAACCAGAAGTGGTTTTTACACTTTGAAGTTTTAACAAAAGAAATATATGCAGAGACTTCTGTGACACACAAAACGTAACACGTTGCCTACCCTTCCCTTTACAGGAACTTCTAGTTTTGGTGTCAGTTACAAAGTGTTTCTATAAAATAATGTCACTGATTCTCAAGCATGCCAGGAAAAGTCACACTTCTCAACAACCCTCAATGGACATGCACCATCCTGTGTGTTTCACACAGATTTTAGTTTTTTAAAAGCCAAAATAAGGGAGGTAATTCAGCTAAGTATTATAGTAACACAATTTGAGATACTTAATGATGTGTGACAACAGAATAATTGGCATTCCTGTGACACAATAAACTAGCTGAAACAAAAAATAACAAATCAAAGCATGTTTTGGCATCTCAAAGTGATCAGTGAAATTGGGAATAACATTCAGTTAAATGATACTTTAAAAAACAAAAAGCAAAAACAAAACAAATACCACTAAACCATCACTCCTTAAATTTATTTACCTACTGCTGCAAAATAAAGTGGAGAGACTTCTTAGTGCAGGGTAATAATCAGCCATCGTCACCATGAAAGAGACCACTGTGCAGGCTCAGGCCCTCCAGCCCACAAAGGCAGGGGGAGGGAGCAGAAACGATGGCCAGAAAGAAAGGGACAGGGCAACCATGACCTACTCAGCAATTGTACCCTCCCACCTTTCTTGTGGACTTAGAATTTTGGAGCCATCTGGGTTTACCTTCCTATGTCCATAAGTCAGCAAGTTCTCGAAGCCAGAAATCTACAATGCTTCTTGGCCGCCAAGTCCTCTCGGCCTTCCCCCATGTTTTAGGGCCCATCAGCTCACCCCTGAATAGTATCAATGGCCACGGAGATCCAGTCAACCTTGCACTCCACAGACTGAAGTATGCCAAGAGCCACTCGAGGCTGCCACTGCCATGACCAAAGGCTTTCAGAGACAGTCGCCAGCACTGCACAAGTCCATGTGGCTTCACCAGGCGCAAAGCGGCTCCAGCATTCCATCCAGTCTGTCGCTGCTACCATAGCTGTGAGTCTAGGATGTGTCAGGAAGGGAAGGAAGACACCATGTAGATCATCTCATTTAAGCTTCAGTGTCACAAGGTGGATTTTGTTGTGCCCGTTTTATGGATCGGGAAAGCTTTAAGGAGGGCAAGCACAGGGCTCTGCTGACACAGCAGCAAGCTCCGCAGAGGCCTGGGCATGACCCCCGCCCCACGCTCCCTGGGTCCTGATGTCCACTCCTCCCCCGTGGGAGCCTGATCCTGAATCTGTCCGAATTGCTACCATTCCTAAGACACGACTCATGTCTGCCCACCTCCTCCTTTATCTGTTTCCCCCAGCCCAGAGGCGTGTGCTCTTCCATCCAGCCAGACATCACGCTTCAGCACCTGCACCTGACACCACTTCAGCCAAAAGCTTCTCTCAAACCTCCCCCAACACCTGCCGGTCACACAGGTCTGCACCCATCGCCTTTCTCACACGAATTCTCACATATTCCTGTGTAGCACCATCCAGCTGATTATAGTCTGAGAGGAGGAAGCTTCGTAGAGAAGTCCACATTCTACTTTGCTCCCAGCATTCCGTCTTGCATGAGGCAACCGATTAACAGCAAATTCATTTCAGCACAACATTTCCATTTGAAGAAAAGCAGGGCATAGAACTCTGGTCATAATTAAAAGCTTGTTTCGTTCGTCGTTTGAAATTCCATGTACTGCTGCAACAGCAGCACCCCTCCTCGCCAGGCTCTGCCTAAAGGACATCATTCTTCCAGCGCACGACTCCCATCAGAACCCCGGCAGCAAGAGCCACGCAGGTTTCCCAGTGCCTCGGGCTGTGGCTTCCATGCTAGGCCAGCACTGACACGATGGGAGTGGTGCCCCCAACAACTACAGGATCGGAAGCTGGCCGACTGCTCTGTAGAATGCAGACATGTTAGTAATCACTGACAGTTCCACTGACAGGCTGCTCAGCTAAACTGGGAAAACTCCACAAAATAGAAAGAACCCATGGGGAGCACTTCTCTCTCCAACCTGGCAGCAAACGGTGGCTGTGCAGACGACCTCTTCGGGATAACCATCGACTGCATCTCAGGTCAGCAAACAGCCCCGCTGAGGGCCAAAAAATCAGCTCCCCCCAGCCCTAACTTCCTAAGGGTCAGCCCTCCCAGGCCACCTCTCCTGGAAGACCAGCTCTGACACACCCACAACCGACTCTGGGACTCATTTCCCAGGCTCCTGCCCACTGCCCTCTCTCTTCTTCCTCCTCCTCCATCTCCCTCTTCACTCCCATCCTCCCTCCCACTTTCACTTCCCTTCTCTCCTTTCCTCTCCCTCCTTCATTTCCTTTCAGTCCTCATCTTCCTCACTGCACTTCCCCATCCAACTCAGCCGACGCATTCTCAGGTCAGTAGAGGGTTTTCTTTCACTCTATGTTTTTATTGCAACGATCATTCTTAATGAACAGAAATGAACAGAAACCTATTTCGGACCATGTGGATACCACCTCATGACCAACTGCTGCCCCGCGGCTCCGTGTCCACTTAGTGTCCTCACGGCACAGGTGCCCAGTAGTATGACTGTGACCAGGGGTAGCAACATGGGACACGGGAGAGGTATCCCAGCCAAAGGCCTGCAAAGCCTCCCCAGCAAACCGGAGCAAGGCCCAGGGCGGTAGGGAGAGCGCTGTGCTCATGCTGTAGGCAGTTCAGCTTCTGCAAACTGTCCATTGACTGCAAATTACTTTGTTTCCATGGTTACAAAAGAACCATAAGCATTCTGAAATATGTTCTTGGTTTCATGTTTGCGAAATCTAAGCAACATTATAAGAAAAATCACTGAATTCTGTCCGAGGCTCTAGGGGTGTTTTCCTCTCTGAAAGGAGCCCCTTCCGGGACTTGGGATTGAGTGACAGCCTTCAATCACGCTTCTCCTGGTGGTAACAGGGAACTCCTCAGCCTGCCGGGAGCTGGGGCCCTCGACAGCCTCATGGCTCCACACGCCAGGGTTCTAAGGGTCACACGTGTGCAGATAGCAAAGCTTGCTGCACACACGCCAGGTGCTAACAAGCCCCAAACTTCTCACTCATACTTGCTAACTACATCTCTTCTCCCAGCCTCCATGGCGTTTCACACTCTGCCTTTATATAGAGATGAACCATGCATCCTGAGTGCTACAAAGATTCACCTCCTTCCGGGCAGAAGGGTGCATCTTTCCATCACGGGGTCTTCACGCGAGCCGGCCCAGGATTTGCAGAGTGGGTGAGTCTAACGATGATACTTTCTCAATATTCCCTTCACACCCTTCCAAAAACAAGAGTACTGCCAGCTTCTTACCGAGGTTGTATGAGCAAAATATTTTTCTCTTGTTTGTCACTTTTTAACGTAATACTAGTGAAGAATGTGACTCTACATGTACACTGTAAGCACCCACACCGTGAACATTCTGCTCTCCCGTGACTGTATTCACAGGTCACAAGGACAAAACTTCTCCATAGTAGCCAAAATATATACATTTATTTATTTATTTATTTATTTATTTATTTATTTATTTCTGTTAACATGACTTCCACTCATCTGAAAGTCACAGAAGTGGCTTTTCCTTCATAAAAAGATCCAAAGGATCCACAAGCCAGGTTTAATAAACATGTTGGTCCAGGTAGGAAAATGACCCCTCAGTCTCCCTCCCCTCAAAGACCAGGGCAGCCAGGAAACTGCGCTCTCCAGTCAATGACAGCCGGCAGGATTCCCTAAGTAAGCAACCGGAAGATTCCCATCTCGCAGAGCATGCCTTTCAAAACAAAGAACATACTACCCAAGTGAGGACTGAGGCAGTAAAGAAACATGTTTTCGGCCGGGTGCGGCGGCTCACGCTTGTAATCCCAGCACTTTGGGAGGAGGAGGCAGGCGGATCACAAGGTCAGGCGATCGAGACCATCCCGGCTAACAAGGTGAAATCCCCGTCTCTACCAAAAATACAAAAAATTAGCCAGGCGTGGTAGCGGGCACCTGTAGTCCCAGCTACTCGGGAGGCTGAGGCAGAAGAGAGGAGTGAAGCTGGGAGGCAGAGTTTGCAGTGAGCCGAGATCACGCCACTGCACTCCAGCCTGGGTGACAGAGCGAGACTCCATCTCAAAATAAAAAAATAAAAATAAAAATAAATAAAATTAAAAATGTGTCCTCATGTTTTGGCCTTTGAGACAAAGCCTCTTAGTTAATCGAGTTCTGACTGAATTTGACTCACAGTACTCTGGCAGATTCTTCATTCTCTGGTGAGATAGACAAATGTCGCAGGGTGAGGGCAATGCCAGCCCTTTCAGGGTCAGCTTTTTGAGGAGTGATGTCTGGCAGAACACAATCCAACACCATAGTAGGATCCCCCACCCAACAACTTAGACGCTTTCTGGTACTTACTCTGTCTGCTTGTTTCCCTTTCTTGAATTCAGCTGGGGGAAAAAAAAAAAAAACAAAAAAATCAAAACCAGAAACAAGCAGCCCATGTGTTTTTGTGTCTGAAAAGTTAATACATCCATATCCAACTTTCTAAATGAGACCACGGCAGGTATGATGGTCACCGAACAGTGGCCACTGTTGACAAAATACAAAGTCTTCTGCGAACATGAACGAGTTTCTAGCAATACAAAAGTCAAGGGAATTTACTCCACATATTAAAGCTGTCAAGGGTGCTCATCAAAAATGTACTTAGAGGTTTTCCTTTAAAGTTATTTTTGAAGATTTTTAAGTTGCAATACTTAAAAGCCTCTGGGAAAGGAAAGGATACAGCTATCTGGAAGATTTATACTAAATGATTTTCATGTCTTTTTGATAAAGTTAAATAAGATCAGCCTTGAAGTAATGGGTTCCACTACTCTGAGGCTGTGGATGGAATCCACACCACGAGACAATTGAATAAACAGCAAGGCTGCACACACAGGACGCAGGCAGTGAGCCAGCCTGACTAGTCATGTTCTGGGTCAGTTCTACCCAGTTCTGCCCAGGCCCCACTGGAGATGAAAACCTGCCCTGTAGAAGCCTTCAATCCCCACCTTTCAAAATCTAATCCTCTTCAACTGAGGCCCGAGTCCAAAAATCTACTGACATCTTAGCCCGCGTTAGACCAGCTGTCCCCCAGCCTTTTTGGCACCAGGGATGGGTTTCATGGAAGACAATTTTTCTGGGGGCTGGTTTTGAATTGCAACTGTTACACCTCAGGTCAGGTATTGGATCCTCATAAGGAGCACCTCCGAGATCCCTCACATACAGTTTACAATAGGGTCCCAGCCCCTAGGAGAACATGCGGCTTACAAGAGAGTCCCAGCGCCTAGGAGAACACGCGGCTTATGATAGGGCCCCAGCACCTAGGAAAACATGCGGCTTACGAACAGGTATTATATCTAGGAGAACAGGTATGAAATGAATTGGTAAAGCCCAAATCCACCCGATCTACCACTCCAAAGCAAACAAACACCACTCTCCAATATTGATGTGAGCCAAAAACATGGAAGTCCTGAGGGCCCACACTGACCACAGCCAGACACCACTTCTGCAAGAAGCAAGCACGTGCCTAGAGATCACCCGTGATGACCCAGGAGAGCAGTTTGAGCAGAGACAAAGGTGAAGGAGAGGCACATGGGCCAGGGTGCTGGGTGTGCCCGTCTTTGTGACCTCACTGAGATTGCTGACCTCTAGCCCTTGGTGTCTGTCCTATGGAGGAGGTAGCCCCCAAATCCCTGCTTCCCTTCAGCACTGACTGAGGTGGCCCTGAAGTCTCCCCAGGGCTGAGACTGCTTCTAAATCCTGTTAATTGCACATCCACATAAAAAACAAAAAACAAAATATCAAGTATGCAGACAGGAAAACAAAAATACGTGAATCCTCCCTTATTCAACAGGCATTTAAAGAGTAACAGGAAAATTGTGATAGGCTTTAAACAACCACCAGCTATCACGTCCTGTTGACATGTTTTAGCTAATCAGGAACATCTTTACCAAGCACCTGTGTGTTCAGGAAATCAGTTGACAGGTCCCAAATAACCTCGGAGCCTACGACCTGGCCCCCACTCACGCGCATCACCTCTCCAGAGGAACGAGCCCTGGACACCTTTCAAATGGTGAGGAACAGGAACAAGGGTAGCTTTCCCTCAATGCCACAAAACAAGCTCGACCCCGAGGAGCCCGGAGAACAGCGACGTTTGTTTAGATGCTTTCCCACTGACCTTGTCAGAGGGAACATTCCCATCCCACACGGCCCAGTGTTTTACTCTCCCTGGAATACCAGCAGCCATCAACTCTCAACAAGCTGGAAACAGAGGCCAAGCTGACAGGAGGCCTCTCTCCATTCCCTACTGAATTCGCTCAGGACACGGATGTTCCCAAACACACACGGCCCCGAGTATTCCACACCTGGAGAACATTCAAACAACAGACGCTGCAAAGACGTTCCCCTAAAGAGAAACTCAGTTTCTAACTTCCCTTAGGGAAAAATATGAGATCCAGAACTTTCCAAAAAATCAAGTGTGGGATGAAGCCACTCACCTCTGGCACTTCCCAACCTTGCCTTCCCACAGGTGCTCAGGCATGGCCCCGTGACAGCCCTGTCCACCCAGGACGGCAGCAGGGCTCAGGCAGCCAGCACCTGGGCAGCTGGCGAAGCAACCCCAGGGTGAAAACGTCATCCCAGGCACCACTTCCCGGAGCCCCTCAGCAAGAAAAACAGAGGCGGGACAGAACTGAGGGCTGACTTGAGGCTGGAGAGCCATAGACCCACACAGCTCAATCATCAGACATGCTCTTCTGTGGACAGAGCCCAGGGAGAGGCCAGCACAGAGACTCTCGTGCTGGCTCCATGAACCAGCGTCCTCCAGGGCTGCAAGTTTGTAATCACAGCTTCAGAATTTGGTTCCAGAATCTTCCGGAATCAAAGACACACCAAACTGGAAAGCTGCCAGGACAGCAGGGCCCAGGAGCAGGCTCAGGGGAGGACCACGTAGAAACCCCACACACAGCATACACATATGCATGCTTACTCCACACATGCCACCCCTTCACCCAATACTATGCGTGCAAACGCATGTATGCACTCCATACACACCCTCAAATACACTCACCAAATATGATGCATGTACACACTCCACACATACCCTCAAATACATACGACACACATGAACATGCTCACTCGACCCACACCTGCTAAATACACTCACCACACACACACAAACGTGACACACCTGCACACCCGCACAGACGATGAAATTTAACTGTCACATTTTTACCTGGGTAATTTAAAGTCATTCCTCAAAACACACCTGTTTTACTGAGTTGCATTTTAAGGTGAACACACAAAAATCATTCCAGGGAAACAAACGTCTGTTTGGGCTGCGTGTGGTTTCTTGACTCCCGTAAATAACTCAGCGTTCACCCTCACTTCTGGATAAGGGAGACGATGCAAAGAAATCTGTTAAAATAAAGACATGAAAACAAGTTTAAGAAGGGTTTGAAAGGTTCCTCCTGTCCCCCCGGAGGGGAGAGGAGGACGCCTGGAAAGCTCATGGGGGACAGGAGCACAGCCTCCTCGGTGTGCCATGGACGCCACCTCACCAAGCCTCGGAGAGGATGATGCCTGGAAGACTCACAGGGGTGGGAGCACCACCTCCTCAGTGATTTCTACACTCAGCAGCTTCAGAAATTCCCGTAGAAGCAGAACACATGAGAATTGAGACTGGAACACCCCAAAGAAAGGGGACGAGGGGTCAAAAAAAGCATTCGATCATTACCAAGGAGCGCGGGCATGAAGCCGCTTCAAAGTCCGTGTGACAAGTCACTCATAGGCGTTTCAGAAAATAAGGGTAGTGCGGGATTGCTCGATTAGCTCAAATAGGCTGCCGTCCCTCAGGCCATGAAGTCCCTGAGATGAGCCTCTCACTGAGCGAAGTCACTCGCATCTCTGCCAGAGAAAGTACTACAAGCCGACACATAACGTCATGAAACCTGGGCTTCAGCCCGTCGACAACATTGAGTCTGATATGGTACATCCCTCCAGATGGTTAAAGACCCCAGGGGTTCATCAGACAACCTCGAAGGGCTGTGTCTGTCCTTTTCCAAGTTCTGGATGATTTTTTCCTAATGTACTATAAGCAGCATGTTCCAGTAGAGACGCAATTAACTGACTCTGGGTCCTCTTAATTTTGAAATTAGAAACACACTTGGCCAGGCACAGTGGCTCATGCCTGTGATCTCAGTACTTTGGGAGGCTGAGGCAGCTGGACTGCTTAAGTCCAGGAGTTCGAGTCCAGCCTGGGCAACATTGCAAAACTCCATCTCTACAAAAAATACAAAAATAAGTCAGGCATGGGGACACGTGGAACATGTGCCTGTGGGTCCTGGCTACCCAGGAGACTGAGGCAGGAGGATCGCTTGAGCCTGGGAGGTTGAGGCTGTAGTAAGCTGTGCTCACACCACTGCCTGGGCAACAAAAAGGGTTTTTTTTGCCTGTCTCAAAAACATCAAAGAGATAAAGAATTATATACCTGACTAGGCCAAAATAAAAGAGGCCTTGTGGAACGACCTGAAACACAGCTGCAAATTCTGGCAGGGCCTCCCCTGGCTTGATTTGTGGTGAGTGTAGGACCACTCTGAAGGATAGCACCCCAGGCATCTTCCGATACTAGACCTTACAGTACAACTTCCCATCGCTGGACAGAACACTGGCCTTGGAGCCTGGGACACCCTGGGGCAGTGCCACCATCCTGAGGCCGCCATGGCACAAGGAGCCCCTACCATCATGAAGCCTGGGACGTCCATCAGAGCAGTGCCACCCACCTGAGGCCGCCATGCCAGAGGAGCCTGGACATCATGAAGCCTGGGACATCCTGGGGCAGTGCAGTGCCACCAACCCGAGACCGCTGTGACACAAGGGGACCCTAGTGCCACTGAGAGGCTGCACAGCAGGTCCAAGCCCAGGCCAGGAGTGAAGAGGCTCCATATCCTTTCCATCCCTCTAGCTGAGTCCACAGACGTCTTGGAGCAGAAGTGCATCACCCTCAATGTCCACGGGTAAGTTTTTGGCCACAGAATCTGGAAGCATAAAAGATAGTTCTGGGCTGGTTGGTTGCCAGCTCGGACCTGTCCTCTTTCTACACAAAACCTGGCTCACACCAAGCAGCGTCTAAGTCCTGGAAGACCTGCTAAACACAAGTGCAGCTACAAAGCAGAGAAACTGGAGGGGGCCGGGCTGTGCTCCAGTGGCACCAGCGTTTCTCAGGAAGACCCCGGGCATTACAGGGTCCAGGACAAAGGCTTCTTGGGATCCAGGACATGGAACAAGAACCCATTCCCTGGTCCTGTTGAATGTGAATCGTCTAAGGGCCGATTCCCTCCCTCGGAGGACTGAGCACCGCCCCACAACACATACTAAGGTAATAACAAGCCCGTTACCAGCAGGAGGCTGGTGATGAAGACGTGAGGACCAGTTGAGCATGAGGGATCCTGACAGATCATCCCTGGCACCGAACAAGGGGCAGACAGCACCCCCTGTTCCTGACGCATCAGCCCTGGCACTGAGCGAGGGATGGAAGCACGGCCTGTGCCCCTGCAGATGCAGAGGGATGTGAGGGGGGCGCAGGCTGGGCTTGGAGGCTAACTCAACCACCTGCGCTTGCACTTCTGTTCCTCAAGGCGGGGAGGCGAGGCACAGGCAGCATTAGGGCTCACCTTGCACCTGGGCTGCACTTTTTTCTGCTTATGACTTGTGCTCGCTTTACATGGACAGGCATAGCTATAATAACGGTTCCCTGATTATTTCGCTGCCTACATAAAGGGCTTTCAGAATTCACCTCCATCCTTAGGAAAGGAGGCCAACACCAGGCTGTCTCCCTTAAGATGCAATGTCTCATATGGGGAAAAAAAATCAAGAGAAATCAAATAAAGGCCATAAAATACATCAGTTTCAACATTAAAATTTAATAGTACGCTTTAAATTGAAGATGAGTTAAGTCACATTTCCAAACCTCTGAAAGCACAGTTACTGGGAGGGAGTGATTTGCAACACACAAAGGCAGCCTGTAGAAGGGCCCAGGCTGGATGAGGGCTCAAATGTCAGTGCAAGGAGAAAGTCTGAGCAAACTCTCTCCTACTCTGCTGCTGTCCTCTTCCAAAACACATTGGTTATCTGTCAGTTTAGAACAAGGCCTAGGGAGGTGGGAGGCAGGCCTGGGAGGGTCACCTAGCAACCAAGCTCCTCACCCACACAACCGCACCAGGCTGAGCTGAGCAGCACACACAAACACGACTAATTCTCCCCAGAAACAAGACGGAAGGCAGCACACTGCCACGCCAGGCGTCCTGCAGGTGAGAAGACTGAGGGGAGCCAGAGGTACCTTTAATCTTACTTGCATGGTGGAGGGAGGGGAATAATGCCACTCACTTGAGTGTTGCACAATTCTTTCTAGCAGTGAGTGGCAGAAAACAAAAATTATAGATGCTTCCTCAGACAAATGTTTCTGAAGAACTGAACATAAATTATGTTCAGGAAATAGCATTATGAATGCCTCAAGTGCTTTTGTTTTTAATAATCCCAGAGTAATTCTATAAACCCGGGAATCAGTCTCACCCAACTCCAGGATCACGGCCCAGGTGACGTGGGCACACACATCCTGAAGCTCCAATGCTCAACTAAAGTGGGGCGAGTGAAAATGATCCTGGGTATAATTTACACAGACACAGGAAGGTGGCTGAGCCCCAAACCCCTAAACCAGGAAGACCAGCGTCCTTCAGGGGCCTCACCTCTGTCCTTTCCCAGCCTCTGGGAACCACCACTCTGCTCTCTACTGACACAAACGCCCCTCCAAGGTACAACCATCTGACCTGGCTGGAATCCAAGTATCCAAGTGCAGGATTGTACGTCAGCCCCGTGAAGCCAGGATTACAGCCACTGAATGGCAGTTTTCCATCCCACAGCAACCGGCTTTGCTAGAGGCTTCCTCGGGGACCACTGACCTCACCGCCACTACCCCTCAACTACTTCAACTAACGTACATCATGGCAGAGGCCTCTCCAGGCAGACCAGCCCTGCCCGAGTCCTGCTTCATGGCAAACCCTCCAGGCAAATGTCCTTGGCCTCCTCCGGGAGGCTGTGTTCGGAAGGTGCCCTCATTTACTTCTGTGGCTCTCAGACATTTAACTGGAGCCCAACACACTTCTTCCTGTTCACATAGTATTGAGTTAACAGATTTTTATGAGTCAATTTTCACTGGGAAAAACACCATTTCGGGAGCCCCAATGACCACAATGAAAATGTTTTTACCTCCCCTTACATGACATCGGCAACGCCAGGTCCAGGAAACGTTCTGGATCTCAGATAATGGCATATCCACTCATAGTAAGTCTTTGTCTTGTTTCACAAGGTATCAAATGCTGCCCAGAAGCAGGAAAAACCCCACAACGTGGCAAGGAGGGGCGACCAGCGTGAGTTCTAAGGCCAGACTACCCAGGTCTGCTGACAGCGTGGCGAGGGGCAAACAGTGCAGGGTCTAAGGCCAGACCACCTGGGTCCCGCTGACAGTGTGGCTTCAGGAGTTTCCTAAACCCTCTCCTCTCCAAGTTTCATGTCAGAAAAATGTGGTGATAACCGTGTCTACCTCGTGGGATGACGGGAACACACACAGTAACAGTGTCAGCAGGTGGCTTGCTGAGCACCTGGTGAGGCCACACTGCTGTAGGTTGCCCCACGTGAAATCCAATTCGTTTAAAAATATATATACATATATATACCCCAAACCTACAACCGTATAAAGCTCATTAATCCTAGTTATCCTCAAGGCATTGAGCTATCAATAATGAGCCATCCCCCTGCTGCTGACCTGCCTCAGCCCCACCCTCCGGAAACCCCGCATCCACACCAGCCACACAGGATGAGGCCAGGGAAGGAGCAGGACTGTGTCTTGGGAACTTAAACTCTGGAAGCTGAGTTAAATCAGTGTCGCTCAAATCTTGTCACCAACTATCTTGCTAAATTGGGAGATTCCATCTCTGGGGATCTTGAGGGAACCTGAGGCTCTGCATTGAGTGAGGTGAGCACTCGTGCTGGAATGAGACGGCAGAGAAAGCAACAGAATCTGGGGTCGCAGCTGCCCGAGACTTGGGTCCCACGAGGAAAGTGGCATCAGGGCCCTCAGGACAGTGGCAGAGATCCCAGGAGGCAAGTCCCCGCGCAGAGACTCATGGACCTAAAGTTTGCTCCAGGGCCAGGAGGGGCTGTTGCACTGACAGCCACGAGGCAGGCAGCCTTCGAGCTCCTCCAGCTGCCGTCTGGCAGGCAGGGAGGACAGTGCCCAGACCACCCCGGGGCTTCCCCAGCCTGCCAGGCTGGTACTCTTACTCCAGCCACTGACAAGAGTCCCCATGTTTCAAGCTAGGTTGAAACAGTGCCTCAGGCCTCGGGGCACATGCACCCCCCTGCAGGGCCACTCCTACCCAACACCTGGGGATGGCTATTCCCACACATCCCCAACTCACAGCAAAACTTCAAAATGAAAGTCGGAAGATATAGCCAGGAAACCAATGCTGAAGAAGTAACTCTAGGGTAACTCTTCCTAGAGCTATTGCTACTGAACATCTTTAAAAACATTTCCAGGGTGACTTCCTAGAGCTATTGTTGTTAAAAATCTTTCAAATTCTTCATTTCAAAATTAGCTTTTATTACACTGTCTTCCCTATTCTACCAAGACTCTAAAAAACAAAACCATTATAAATTCCAATTCTATCTTATAGGAAGTTAGAAATACACATGTTTCTTCAAAGGATTCTACATGTTTCCTTGGCGATATCCTTTTCATGCCCCATGCTACTGCCCACAATAGGAAATGCTTTTCCAACCCCACAAAACTCAACCCAACCCAACCCAACCCAACCCAACCCAACCCAACCCAAGGGCCCTGAGACAGGCCCCTAACGAATCGTCTACCAACTCCTGAGACAGGCTTGCTCTAATGAATCATCTGCAAACTCCATCTTCCATTAAAAACAGTACTGAAAATGAGCATATTACTGCTTTTTAAAAATTGCTGTAGAGCGGACAGTGTTCAGTTCTGTGAATTTCAGCACAAATATTCCCATAATCATCATCACACAAACGGAACAGTCCAACAACACCAAACCCACTCACGAGGCCTCATAAGCATACCCTCCCATTCCCAGCAACCACCGTCTCCGTGTTCTCCCATCCTCCGGGTCTGTCTTTTGCGAGTGTTGTGGCAAAACACTCACAAAATCATGATTTCCTGGGCATCGTGCTTGGAGGTGCACCCAGGGTGTCCTGTGATCAACAGCCAGACCTCGGGGCTGCTGGGTGTTTATTATTCCACGTATGGCTGTGGCACATTGTAACCTGTTTTGGGCAACTATAGACAGCGCTATTAACATCTGGGCACAGTTTTTCTTAAACATCAGCTTCTGTTTCTCTAGGGTAAATACCCAGGATTGGGGTCACGGGGCCCCACGTTTGTGTGAGTTCAGTTTTGCACTTCTGTGATTCTTCAGTTATTTCAGGCCATCTGGGCGTATATACGTGCAAGTCACAGGAGATGCGATGGCTTGGCTTGGGCTCACAGGCCTGACGACTATACTCTTTACTTTTAAGGTGTGGGGTAAGACCATATAATCCCCAACTAGGCTCCTGATGCTGTGTGTGGTATCCAGCAACAGCACGTTCCATTCCTGGATTACATTTGACTCAAGAGTCCACAGTGAGAACGATTTCTGGTGAATGAAACACCAGGCAGGAGGGTGATTCCGCTGGGCAGCTCTTCACACACAGCCCAGGAGCTGGGGGAAGAGGAAGAGGCCCACGCGCGTCCACCGTGCTCACGTCCCCTTGGAATGCCCCCCACTCCTAGAGGCCCGGACCCAAGGGAAATCTGACCTGAAAATGGGCAAACCCTCACTTTGGCAGACGGACAGGGACTCGGGGCCACAGCTTGACCTCAGAGCAACACAAGTGCAGACACAGCACCCCAGGACACCCTCCCCACCCAAACTCAAGGAGGAAAACCAACGCCCCGCCCCCTTGCGGAAACCCCCGGCTGCTGCAGCAGACGCCTGCCGGCGTGTGCAGCCTCTCCCGTCCCACGTTCCGGGCTCAGCACATGTGCCTCAGCCCTGGCACTCCTCGCCACACCCACAGGTGTGCCAGGAGGGGCACGTCCCAAGATCTCCACAGCACCAAAGCCTGCAAGGCAAAGGGGCCGCTCCCTCCAGCAGGAGTCCAGAAGCACACACTGCACCAGCGACAAGGCGTGAGAATTCTCCCCTCGGTCTCCGAGTCTCCAGTCTGTTGCCCGCCAGGGTCTTCTGCCAACGGCGAGGCCCAAGCTGGGAGGCACATTTGGTTCTCACCATTTCCCTTGTCAAGATCAATACTGCAAACATATCCAATTCATCCTGTCACTAAAAATGCAATAATCTGCCATCTCCACCACAGATGAAGCAATCAGGTTTCCATTACCGGGTTGTTTTTTTTTTTGTTTTTGTTTTTTTCTTCTATTTTGAGATGGAGTTTCTGCTCTGTCGCCCAGGGTGGAGTGCAGTGACGCGATCTCGGCTCACTGCAACCTCTGCCTCCCGGGTACAAGTGATTCTCCTGCCTCAGCCTCCCAAGTAGCTGGGATTACAGGTACCTGTCACCATGCCCGGCTAATTTTCACCTTTTCAGTACAGACGGGGTTTCACCATGTTCACCAGGCTGGTCTCAAGCTCCTAACGTCAGAGTATCCACCTGCCTCCTCCTCTCAAAGTGCTGGAATTACAGGCGTAAGCCACCACGCCCAACCATAACTGGTGTAATTTCTAAGCCACTCTCTCACACCCACTCCTTTTTTTTTTTTTTTTTTTTTTTTAAAGAACCAGCTTTATGGCTAATATTTTTTCCAAGAGAATCAGTTACCCATTTGAAGTACAAATAAGACATCGTGTTTAAAAACCAAAAATGCCCATTTGCACAGAAGTCTCCAAATACCCAGTCGATTTGAGCCTTGAGAATAAGGTCAAGCTGTTGGCTGAATACAACTTCCCTTTCCATCTGTCTGCCTGTGAGTTAGACACAAGGACGAAGCCACGAGCTAGGGACATAAAGGCAGGAACCAACAAGGCAGCCGAGACTCCAAATAAAACCTCGAAGGACCAACACAAATGCACCACACCCTGTACGCCCTCCTCTCCTTCCTTTTCCGAATTTCAGAGGATGAAACAGGGACCTCCTGAGACGTCCCATGATGCAGGCGGCCAGAAGGGAAAGCCGCGGCAGCCTGAATGAGGTGACCGGGAAATCACATTCCACAAACAGAAATTTTCCATGTGCTTTACATCCTCTGTCTCTGAAGAACTATGCCAGGCTAACAGTGGCTAGAAAACCGCCTTCAAGTGTCAGTTCCCATTTCAAGCAAAGAAAACAGTGGTGGGCCATGAGGGAAAAATATAGCCATGTGTTCTGGAGTATTAAATAAGTTTTTTTTCTGTCATAAACATATAATTTTATATTCTCAGATTTCTGTATAATTGATATGCTTCCTAATTAGCAGACATAGTAATAAAAAGTGAATTCCAAGTGTAAGATCGGAGGACCCGTTCACATGGCTTCAGGTTCTGCTACTGTGTTTCAACTTAAGAAAATGGTTCTGTGCGTTTGTAACAAGGCCTGAGAGTCTGTGTGAGAGTCTGTGTGGCTGTAATCAGGGTTCGTGTTGGCTCCGTAGCAGAGGATGTTACACTGTTACGTTATCTTCTACAAAAAATCCTGAAAAAACGAAGGCTGAATAGACATACACACCCTCCCGAAATAATCCAAATGACCACCGATATGAAAAACAGATGAATTACAGTTTCCATCATGGAATATTCCTCAGCAGTGAAAACAAACCATAGCCACAGGTGCCAACTAGGATAAAGAAAACCTTTTAAACAAGTTTAAAGTGAACTGACTAGGCGGAATTCCTCGATTACAGGCGTCTGCTCCAAAATGGTCCTGTTCTGAATCCTGTGATGTAGAATGATAGTTAGCAACCCTGTTTCAGGGCATATCTAGAAAAAAGCAAAATAATGACTACACAATTTTAAATTCTTTGTAAATTATAACTATTACTATGAAAATTCTAAAAATGTGAAAATCTTCCCAACTGTTATTGGACAAGCTTCAAAATAAATACCCTGGCCTTGCTTGCCACACCCACAGATGTGCCAAAATAAATGAAAATATAGCCCAAGTTAGTAGAATCGAAACCTGAAGATGTACGAGCCGTCCCTGCCTCACTATCTATACATCATGTAGAAATTTAAGAGCAGGTAGTGACACTGCAAAATGCAAGGCTCAAACCAATTGGATATTTGGAAACTTCTATGCAAATTGGCATTTTCGGTTTTTAAACACGGTGTTATTTGTACTTCAAACAGGTAACTGTTTGGTTTCCTTGGAAAAAATATAGCCATAACCTAGTCTAAAAAAAAAAAATACCGGAGTGGGTATGAGAGAGAGTAGCTTAGAAATTTTAAAAGTATTGGCAGGGAGCAGTGGCTCATGCCTGTAATCCCAGCACTTTGAGAGGCAGGCCCCACGGGGCCTTTGAGGACACCGGTCTCCTCTGCTGCCTTCCTACTGGACTGACCCCACGACATTCACTGGGTTTCCACCCCTGTCTCATTCAACATCCCAAGGGTGGTCTTCATCCTCATCTGGGGCTCAGCTCTGCCCCAATTTCCTAAATCTTTGCCTTCAGAGCCTGAAAATACCCACGTCCAGGGTCACCCTAAGTCCACGTTTACCCCAGAGAGTCCCAATTTTATGTTTTGCCAGCATCGCCTTAGTGATAATTTATCCTGTCAATTCCAACTGCCTTCACACCTCACCCCTGCTGTCTCCCAGCAGACCCCACTCAGATGCACATGCCCCAGACCCCACACCCAGGTCTGTGCATGCTTCGCTGCTCTGCCCATGTGGGGACCACCCCTCTTTCTTGAGGAATCAGCTGGCGATCATCTCCTTGTGGAGGGCTGCCCTGACTTCCAACTCTCTCCAGCAAAGGTAGAAGCCATCCTCGGTGCTTCCCCAAAACTCAGGCCAAGTATGAAGATGGCGCAGACGCTAGCTGTGCCTGGGATGCCATGGGCAGTGTCCCCAGATGCTCTGCACATGGCCCGGGGCACCGCCTGAACACAGCAAGTGCTGAAGAAATCAAACTGACGTGCGCTGACCTCTGATAGGGCCCCCTTCACCGTCCACATCTGTCTCCCCTCTGGACAGTAAAATCCACAAGACAGGGAGGGCTTGTCTCACTCATCTTCAAACTCCCAGGGTCACCCTGGTAGGTAAAGGGGACTCAAATGTCTTCTGAAGGAAGCGACTGGTTAGCTGCCGAGTTAAAGGGCCTCTGAAATTCAGAGCTCTGCATAGGAGTCCAGCACACTTTATTATGAATGACCCCAACCACGGCAGAAGTGGCCGTGGAACCAGTGCTAACCAATTCAGAGTTTGTTCACTGTTTCTCAGTTCATTATCACAACTCATTCTCACAGAGCAGCCGCGCACAGATCCTCAGACGTCTACACAGAGTGGGCCGATGGCGCCGAGTCACGTCAACGTCCTGTTGCAGACTGGGAGACACCGGTCAGACACGGACCCAGGCAGAGCACAGACCTCGCGTTAAATTGGCTCCGTGTAAACAGCACTCCCTGAGGCCCTTTCCTATCTGCACAGCTTCTACAAATTCAACTCTCGCACCTGACACCTAAGAATACTGCACACCCCCATGTGAATCCCCCATTTACCTCCCAAATGACTTGGCATGGCCGAGTACAAAAAAGTTCAACATAAGGGAACTGGAGGGCATGTGCGGCTTTCTCGAGTCCCTGCTGCTTCCTAATGGGAGGGCCCAATGCTTCACACCCCGAGTGAAGGGCGGGTCTCTTCGGCCCCCCGGCTTTGACCTGGAGCTAATCAGCATTAAGTAATTTCACTTTCCAGGACCAACTTCAAAGGCCTGCAAAGCCAGAGAAGGGAGAGGAGATGGAACACGCCCTCACCTCAGACCTGCTGCAAGCACGTACTTCTCAGATGCATCCCAAGGTGCACAGCGTGTCCGTTGCCTGTTTCACATCCATCGACCTGCAGGTCTTCTATGTGGCATCAGCCTCCTGGGCACTGGAAACAAGAGGAATAATGGCAAGTCCCCTCTGCAGCAAAGGTGAGGAAAAGGGACCCGACGCAATGGAACTGTCCTTTTTCTGACAGTCTCAAAACAGAAGGAAAATACTGTACAGCCAACTTCCCCTCATGCAGGTTTATTTACCTGTGACTCAGAGGCCATGACAGACAACTTCAGGTTCTCACCGATTCCTATTTTCCCCATCCAGGAAGCCTTTGTTTTTAATCGTACGAACTTGCCATTTTGTAGACCAAAAACAGCAAATATTGGCAGTTTCCTACAGTTCAACCGAATAAAATAGGATCATGGCCTTTTGTGAAACCATGAAGAAAAGGTGGGTATCTCAATATGTGTTTCCAGACTGGCTTTGTTCCTGAAGCACTAACTCTGTTCACTCAGGATTTTAGACACTGAAGAATAAACATCAATATCCCACCAAGAAAACCAAAAGGATGAAATAATTTTGCATCCACCTTGGAGCCTTTTTAGGACAAGGCAGGACACAAACTTTTAAAAAGCTGCAGTTGTCCCTCTGTATACACAGGGACATGGATTCCAGAACACCCTCCGAGTTTGCCCAAATCTACGTATCCACAGGACTCGGCCGCCACCCTATGGAACCGCATGTAGGAAACGTCAGCCCTCCACAAAGCCAGGTTTTTTCAGTAAGGTTTGGTTGGAAAATAATTAACATAAGTGATCCTTCGAAGCTCAAAACCCATGTTGTTCAGGGTCAGCTGCATTTACTACTTGTGTCGTATCTGAGGCCTGAAAGCCATCATTCTCGATACCTTAACGTGATGGTTAACAAACTAACTGTTCTGATTAGAAAGAGGAAAAAGCTAATTTTTAAGCTGACAACGAGAGTGGATGTGCTACGGTGAACGGAGAACAGACCTAAGCAAGCACCAAGGCTGGGGTGACTGCCTGTGCTCAGACCCACCAGGGCGTGTTCCTCCATCTCCCTCTGCTGAAAGGGATAACCGCTTCTCCCCCACGAGTAAAGGGCCTTTTTTAAATATTCACACGAGAAGTGCTATGAAAAGCTGAAAGGTCACAGATAACATTTTTAAAAATAAACGTTAACGTAAGCATTTAACAAGCCCATTATAATTTTAAAAAAATATATATATTAAGTTCTTGGGTGTGGTGGCTCATGGCCGTAATCTCAGCACTTTGGGTGGCCGAGGTGGGCGCATCACCTGAGGTCAAGAGTTTAAGACCAACCTGGCCAACATGGTGAAACCCCGTCTCTAAAGAAAATACGAAAATTAGCCAGGCATGGTGGCAGACGCCTGTAGCCCCAGTTACTTGGGAGGCTGAGGGAGGAGAATCACTTCAACTCGGGAGGGAGAGTTTGCAATCAGCCAAGATCATGTCATTGCACTTCAGCCTGGGCATTGAGTGTGAAACTCCATTCCAAAAAGAAAAAAAAATTATAAAGTTTTCCTTCTAATGAACCTATCATTCAGCCACCGAGGTATACTATAGCTACTTATTCAACCATGAGATACACCACAGGAGATATAGGCGAACAGGACACAGTTCTCTGAAAGAAGGCTGCACCCTCAACAGAAGGGAGGCACACACTCCGAATGGAATCGGCATAGGGAACAGATGCTGCTGCAGGTGGAACTGGCTGCACAGAGCACCCGCTCAAGTGTCTGAGAAACAAGGAGCCGTTGATGCCATCACCTTCCATACCTGAGCTGGGGTAGTGGGGAGCCTGTCATCACCACCACCACCACCCGGACAAAGAGCCCCAGAACCACACAACGAGCTTACAAACTCACCGAGGCGATGACCGAGCAATGTGCGTGGAGTGATGCGAACACGCAGACGTCAGGGCCACGCGCGGCGTTGGTTTTGTGCATCAACCTGAGCGTGCCCAGGGTGCCCAGATGGCTGGTTCTGCATTATTTCTGTGTGAGATGCATGTTTGCCTCTGGACTGAGTGGACACCCATCCTCGCCGGTGTGGGGGGCACCACCTCATCCACCCAGGGCCCGAGTAAAACAGCAAGGCGGGGAAAACTGGGTTCACTCCACCTGTCTGGCTGATGGGCCAGTGACATTTGTCTTCTGCAGCCCGTGCTCCTGGGTCTCAGCTCCTCAGACCCGGGTGGGATCTGCACCCTCCGCTTCTCAAGTCTTCAAGCCACACCCTCCCAGGACTCTAGCTTGCAGGCTGTGGGTCCTGGGGCTTCTTGGACTCTGTAGCCCCTGCAACAGCCCTCCCTCTGGAGACACATGCACACCCGGCTGGCTGTCTCTCTGGAGAGCCCTGACCAGAAGCCGCCCCTAAAAGTGGTCTTCAGAGTTTCTTTCTAGCCCTAAGATCCTAGCGCCCCTCCTACAATTCTAGGCGGAAAGGTGAACGGAGACCAATGGACAGAGTTGTGTGCGAGGACACGCCAGGCAGCAGCACTGGGCAGGAGGGCACTAACGCTCACTAAGCAAAGAATCAATGTTGCTTGCCACAAAAATGAGAATCGTCAAGATTTCTTCAAACAGAAATGAGTTTGTTTCATGATTTGCTCTTAATACCTAAGAAAGCATAAAAGTAGGCCTATTAACAATTACGTAAGTCTTTAGAGGCCCTTGAACTACTTCTGTCCCTTTGTGTTTTTATACAAAATAAGCCTGAGGTTAAAGAGAATAACATCACTGGCCACAGCTGGGGCCACGCGAGGACACAGCTTACACCCCCTGAGGTCCCTGGGTGCCCCGAGACCTTCCCTTGCTATTTATGGAAATATGGGAGAAACCAGGAGGTCTGAGCATGGACCTGGCCGTGCTCCCAGGGGCCGAGGAAAGCACCCATCTGTCCAGTCTTCCCTCCACCCCGTAGTTCCCTCCTACCCAGACACTTGGGCTGACGCGGCTCATGCACTCAGCAGCGCCATCATTAAACGTTTAGCTTCGCATCACGAGGGCCTCCTCTGACCACTCCTGAACCTACAGTCAGCACTAGTCTACAGGACACGCGTGGACAAGGTTGATGGATCACGGCCTCCAACGAAGAAGATGCCAGGCAAGGAGTCGGAGAGCCGGGGATGGAGCAATACTCACCCACGGAGGCGAAGGCCAACAGCGGCCACCACCGAGGACCTCCCTTCCCACCCTGAAGGCAGCTCACCCAGGGAAACGAAGGCCGACACCGGCCACCACTGAGGGCCTCAAGGGCTCTCCCCACCCTGAAGGCGGCTGCGATCACATTTCTCATCGCACCAAGAGACCCGTGTATTGAGCACAAACCTTTTCAACCTTCGAATCAATAAGGAATCACAACACGGACATTCCCTCAATCCAAATGGCCAGCCCACAAAACAGACACGCAATCATACACATTTCCTGTGGGAAAATCAGTCAGTCCCTGGGGCCTCGCGCCAGGGGTGGGGGAGCAACATGAGGAGATGCCGCAGCCCCAGCCTGGCTCTTCCCTCTACAGCTCCTTTTCCCTCCTCTTCCCACCCCCTCCTAGCCTCAGAGGCTCCTTCCTCAAATTCTTTCCCCTTGATGAAGTCATTCATGCCCAAAATACAAGGCAAAGTCATGGGGGCTCAAGAGAAAATCCATACCGTGGCTCGCGTTTTAGATTCTCATAAGTTTGAGAATAACCAAGCAAGAATCTTTGGCATCTGAATGTGGTCTGAATGCATCTGAGCTCAATGTCTGGCACTGGCCCGGAGTGGATCATGGGTGTCTCGGACATCTTCGTAACTCTACACCAATTATTTTGAAACACACTAGCAGAATAGAACCATGTGAATAGCTACTTCTCAGTTAAAAGTAGGAAAAGACTCCAAAAGTTGCCCTCAAGGAACATCCTTCCCACGAGGAGTTTCTGCATCTTGCCCTTCAGGCACAGACAAGGCCCCCAGGCCCAACTTCCTCATCCCTGCATCATAAAGCAGCAAAGACCGTGGGGAATAAAGCAAGTGAAGGAGTCAGTCCCGCACAAAACAGGCTCCAGAAGCCACAGCCACTCTCCCAGTGTGGGAGCCAAGTTCAGAGACCTGGAAACACCAGCACACCCAGGGAGGAGGGCAGAACAAGTCATTTCCCCCTAGTTTAGGGAGACACCACCCCACGTCCTCCGGCCTTAACAGAAGAGAGACTTCACATAAATGATTTCAATGACTCCACCACACACAGAAAGTGGGCTAAGGGCTAACACACCCATTCAAATGCCTGGCAAAAACACATTAAATGAACACACAGATAAACAAGGTTCTCCTGTTATCCACGAAATATTCAGAAACAAATCCAGTAAGCAATCTCTTTGCAATCAAAAGACCAATTCAGAGGTGCAGATTAAAAAGAAACATACAACTGAACCATTAATACACACCAAGAACCAAGTTCCAAGGAAGTGTTATCACATCACCACCTCCAAGCTGAAGGAAGCAGCACTGGCCATGGACCAGCTGTTCACTCGTGGGTCAGTGAACGAATGGCAGTGCTGTCCAGGACAACGATGAGATATTAACCTGAAAAGGGCAAAATGGCAGAGGCTGGAGGGACCTTCCAGGTAACCCGGCCCCTCAGTGGACAGAGGACCCCCGTAGGGCCACAGAGCCCAGAGCCCCAGTGTGTTCGGGGCAAGCACTCAACTGCAACCCTGATGATGCCCGAACGCCTTCTGCCCTTCTGCGTCTCTGCCCCACTAACAGGGAATCCATAAACGCTAAGGAAATGTAATGCATTTCACAATACATGTAGATTTTTAGCAAATTAAAGATAAACAGTGACAAACTTTGAGAATTAACCAAAATATAGTTCAGTGAATGCCCAAACTCAAAGCTAGTCTCCAAGAGGTGATAAGCTGTGTGTGGTGGTTAATGCCTGTAAATCCCAGCAGTTTGGGAGGCTGAGGCAAGAGAATCACTTGAGCCTAGAAGGTTGGGGTTGCAGTGAGCTGTCATTGTACTACTGCACCCAGCCTGAGAAACAGAGTGAGACTGTCAAAAACAAACAAACAAAAACAAATTAAAGGAGTTCAAATGAATTCACCCATACCCTTTAAATTTTCATTTGGGTACATGGGGTGATCGAGTTCCTTTTTCCCTTGCAATATATGAATAATCTAATAATTAAATATAATCTAACAATTACATGGGAAAATTTAATTATTTTCCCATTTCATTATTTCCTATCTCAGGGAAAAAGTTAAAATTATTCCCTATTTCAGGGAAAAAGCTAAAAATCATTTTAAACCTTCCTTCCACAAAACAGTATACTCAGTCATCTCTATCTGCTTTCTCATGTGGAATTCAGCTTCACATGTCTACAATACAGTTTTTGTTAAACAGCGTTTATGTAGACAGGCAAGAGAAAGAAACATTTTGTCTATGTAGAAGCAGCAGAAGACACGTTTTAACAGAAAAGGGAGAAGATACCACCATGTGAATCTGGAAATTCTGTCCTCATCTTGTCCACACACACAGAAAACACCCAAGCACGTGCCTAGTGTCCAACAGGAGCACAGAAAGGACAGGGGTCCCTCCAGTTGTTTAATGACCAGCCCCACTTGTCACCGCCACATAACAAAATCCACACGGCAACTTCAGCACGTTTCATTCACGATTCCACGGAAATCAGGCTGAAGAACATACAGATGTTTTGCCCACATTTAAAAATCCAAGTGTGGGACTCATAGAAATAAAACACATTATGGGTTCACTTAACTTTTCCAAATTTTTACTTGGAGAAACCTATAAAGTTCTTGTCAGTTACATCCTTAAGTTTTTCAATAATTTTTAAATGCAAAGGTCAGGCAAGACTTGTAAAGAGGTACACACATACGGCCCGGTGCGGTGGCTCACACCTATAATCCCAGCACTTTGGGAGGCCGAGGTGGGCAGATCACGAGGTCAGGAAACCGAGACCATCCTGGCTAACACGGTGAAACCCCGTCTCTACTAAAAATACAATTAGCCAGGTGTGGTGGCGGGTGCCTGTAGTCCCAGCTACTCGGGAGGCTGAGGCTGGAGAATGGCATGAACCCGGGAGGCAGAGCTTGCAGTGAGCTGAGATCGTGCCACTGCACTCCAGCCTGGGTGACAGAGGGAAACTGTCTCCAAAAAAAAAAAAAAAAAAAAAAAGGAGGTACACACACACATCCACATTCTTCTCTCAGGGAGACGGGCCCTTTTTAAGATTCCAGATGTAAATGTGGTTGTCACACTGCCTTTGAGAGGATGGGCTGTGTTTTAAGGGTGAACACACTTTCCTCCATGCACCAAGGATGCACCATGGGGGACAGTGCTGCCACCGCCTGCCCAGTCTCTGCTCAGGGTGGGGCAAAGGGAGCTCATTTGTCTCCCGTGTACACCATCAAAAAAAAGAAAAAAGAAAAAAGATTTTGCTGCTTCATACTAGTAAAGTGGGCAGATTCTACATGCCAACTCTTATTCAAAGGTCGCCTAACACTGACTCAGGAACTCTGGCCCTGATGTGCTTGGAGTTTTAATGCTAACAGTGTTAAAGACCACTCCCCCAGGAGCTCTGAACAAGTACTCCAGGTATACACTGAACAAGACCACACACTCTCTGACCGAAATCTAACTTCACAGACCCAAACTACAGAACCACAGAAGACACTGCTTCTGTCCAACTTTGTGTTCTGCCGTCGTTTGTGTCCATTATTTCCTACAAACCATCTCATTAGAATTTAGGGCACACAAAAGGCCGATACAACAGGGTTACTTTTCAAAGGTTTGGAGGTGAAGAACAGATACAATGCATTAACTTCCTATTGCTGCTGCAACAAATTACCACAAATGCAAACCTCCTCTCAGCCCTGGAAGTCAGGAGTCCCAGGGCTGAAGTCAAGGGGTCAGTAGGTTGTGTTCCTGCCTGGAGTCTCCCAATTCATAGAGGCCACCATGCAGCTTGGCTCACAGCCCAACACCCCTTCTCCCACTGCCCCGGCCTCAGCCCTGCACCCCTCAGGCCCCTGTCCCACCCTTGGCCCCATGCCCCTCTGGCCCCCACCCCACACCCGCCCTCAGCCCCACAGCCCTCTGGCCTCTATCTCATCCTCAGGTCTCCTCCTCTGAGATGGACGACTGGACCCTAGACGGAGGGATGAACATTCTGAACAGAATCAACATAACTCAACATTTGAGTCGGAGAGGCCAAGCAATAAGACTTTCAAAAAAGCTACCAAAAAGTATGTACCGTGCCTGTAGTTCACAGCTGAGCGTGGCGTCATGAGTACGAGCGTGCGGCCACACACACCAGGCCCAAGTTTAAGATCAAATATAAGGAGCTTTCCACTGTGGTATTTAACTAGATCTTATTACAAAATAGCCTCCTGATTGCAGTTTTTATCCAAAAAGTTCTCTGTAATTAAAGAAATTAATTTTTCCCTAAAAGACATTTCTCTATCTATCGTCCCATAAAAACTAAATGGGCATATTAAAGAAAAAAGAGAAATGTTTGATTTAGGGGTTTGCCTACGACTTGGATAAGCATGATTTTCTTCTGGCCAAGCAGGGAGCAGCTGGACCAGACTGGAGGGAAGGAAAAACAAATTTCCACTCTGACCTCAGTTGGGCACCAGAGTCTTCCCTGTCAGAATGTGGGTGTGGTGCTTCCCACACACCAGCCTCTGACAAAACTCAGCCCAAGGGTGTGTGAAAAGGCCGTCTACTTCTGAAAAATCTATAAAGTGCAGACACATCAAAAGCTTCCGAAGACTGTAAAGCACCAAGGAGACCACTACACCCTTGGAGTTTACAGAAAATGGTCAATATCACACGTGTCTGAGGTCCGGGGTCAGCTCCCAGCTGCCGCGACACCGTAAACGCAGCCCTGGCTTCCCCTCTGACTCAGAGAGCTGGTCACTCTGCCAGCAGCACTCAGAGCTTAGAACATTCTAGATGAAAGCAACGTGTTCCTTTTAAATTGGGGAACTGGGGCAGCACAACTGAAGCTCTACGACTATGTCAACTACTGGGTTTCGGGGTAGCATTAGGAAATCGTGGGAATCCAAATCTCAATTTCATACAGATTCACTGCAGGTTCCAGAATTTCCTGAAACATTCTTCCAATTTATCACTCAGGATTCCCTTGCCAAAGCTAATATAGTCTAAATTCCTTACGGAAAAGCCACCATAAGCACCACCACAAATAAGATCAACTGACGCCCGCACTTTGCACCAAACGTAAACTGTTACTCACACAAGACTGTGCTGGAGGCAGCTCTCAGCTGAAGCCGAATCCATGAGACTTCATTATCCCATTTTGGATCGAGTATGAAGACTGTCAGCAAACCAGGGCCCCAGTGTGTAGCAGAGAACAGATCCTCTGACGCCTGCCTGAACATTTCCTTCCCACCTGTCTTGGATACTGAACACCCTCAGAGCTATTGAGTCACCCACATTTGCAGGTCATTTATCCAGCCACCAGGATAACATAATTATGCAATAAAAATGCCTTCTCAGGGCTTTGTCATACTCAACAAGGCAGCTCAGAAGGCTAGGTAAGCCCAACAAAGGGGGAAGCGTCCCTCAAATAGACAAAGACCAAGGAAAACCGTGCAGAGACTCTCTCAAGAGAGGGCAGAGACAGAGCCCGCTGTAGCCTTTCAGGCCCTGCTGGCCGCAGCCCTGCGTTAGGTGGCACCATTTCCACGGATGCATCCTGCTGGGCCCATGTGAAAAGTCCCGCTGGCGAGAAACTCACCCCCACTTCCAGCTCCTGCAAGACCTGCTACAGCCCCACTCCACCCTGGGGGCCGACTGTGCAAGTTTTCCTGGCGAGACCCCTCAGAGCCTGCACAGCGTCTGAGACTGGGAAGCACCCAGGATCCAGAAACGCACAAACCCGTTCTCCTCGTGCTGCTTTCTGGGTTCCAAGTTGTCTTCAGAACGAGTCCTGCATAAACCCCAGGCTGGGGAGCCAGCCACGGCCCAGCAGCACCCAGTTCATGTGCTCCACCCACCCCACAGAGGACCACGGAGGCCCCAGCACGCTCTGTCCGGGGCAAGACACCAGATACAGCCACAGTTCAGGGTTCTGCCACCCGCCCCGCTGCCCTAATTACCTACTGGGATCTGAATTCTCGTTGGTTGGAAAGGTGATCCCACAGCTCCGCTGCCCTAATTACCTGCTGTAATCTGAAATTGCATTGGTTGGGAAGGGGATCTCACTGCTCAAGCGCTCCCTGCTGCCTCCTTACAAACAACATAAAAAATCCAAAACCCCTCTTAAAGAACGTTTACTATAACCTCAAAACAAGACCAATCCTGAGACCAGGGAAGATACACACACACATCTGACAGCTGGTGGGCGTCAGTGACTGACGCCACGGCTTCCATGTGGCATGTGAAGTGGGAGGCCTGTCACGGCGACTCAGGCTGGGGTCTGAATAGTGGTCTTCCAAGCAACTAGGCAACCAGGACGCACACCCCAAAACCCAAGTCCCCGCAGTCATGTACCTGGAAGAAATGCTGCGTGGCCATCGACACCAGTTGTGAACCAAGACCGATCTGTGTCCTGTGGTTCTCACAATGTCCGTACACGTCTGGGCCCAGCACAGGCACGCACGGCACCCTGCTCGCCCCCAGGGGGGCTTTCTCCTGCCAAGGGGGAGGGCCCTGAAGTCCGTTGAGATTTCCAAAGCTCTACAAAGTCGCCCTTCCTCCTGCTTGTTCAGAAGGCCTAAAGCCCTGAAGACACCAGTGAGAATTGACCTAGCCTCTTAAGGCAGCTCAAACACCTAAACACAGGAACGCTGGACCTCTCTGCCCTCGGGAGCAGCCAATAACCCACTGGGCTAAGCAGAAGACACAGATGTCACATCCAGAAGGCAGTGGCACTCACGTTTGCATTCCAGGAGCCACCCTTGTGAGT